AGCTACATCTGTACAAGAACCCAACATGCACAGGACCCACATGGCAGCTGGCTGGGGGTAGTCACAATCATGGTCTGATTTTACCCATCAGCTCCTCAGCTTACCCTCTGCAGTGAGCTCTTCTGGGTAACTTCTGCCTTATTGTCATAGGGGAAATGAAAGCACAAGTTGGTTTCTAGTACTTAAACATTAAACAGGGTCATATCAATTTATTAAGGTAGGGGTATTTTCCATAAGAAATTCATGTGGTCTCAAGAAGTCTAAAACACCTGTCTTATTTTTGCTTTCACATTTTTATTTACTATATTTTTAAAATTGAAATACAATTATATAATTTCCCCCTTCTCTTTTTTCCCTATACCCATCATGTTGTCCCCATCTTCTCTCAAACTGATGGCCTTATTTTCTTTATTTATAATATTATACTTATGCATAATATATACATATACTTATGTATAATGTATAATATATACATATATACACACACACAAATATATAAATCTGTTTTTGTTTTTGTATGCATATGACTTCAAGGCTGATCATTCTGCATTGGGCAACTAATAAGGGGGTGATTTTTTTTGTATGTTTGTGGGTGTTTTGTATCTGTTCACTACCTGTGTAGTGCTTATAGGGGCCATTAGAGGACATTGGATCCTCTGGAAATGGAATTACAGATGAGTATGAAACACCATGTGGGTGCTGGTAATCAAACCCAGGTCCTCTAGAATAGCAACTGGTGATCTTATCTTCTAAGCTATTTCCCAGCCCCCACACTTGACTTTTGAAGACAGGAAACAGAAATCCTTGGTGTACCAGGTCTGCCTTGGCTATATCCCCACCCCTACCCCTGCCCCACCCCACAGCATTGTGTTAGGTGGGGCAGAATCCAGACATTTCTGCCTTGGAACTAGTTAGTGTAAACATGGATCTTAATCTATTCTTATTATATTTTAAATTTTGGATCAGACACTTACTTCCTCAAGCCTCAGTTTCTCCATTAGAAAATGTAGGTCATTTACTCTGCCTACATCAGAGGGTGTTAAGAAAGCAAAGAGGCTGGGGAAATGGCTATGTGGCAAAGGTGCTATTGTATAAGCCTGAGTACCAGGACTTGGGTCGCAGGCACAGACATAAATTCTGGGCGTTGTGTGGCAGCTCAAATATGATCCAACACTTTGGAGGTAGGGGTAGAGTTAATAAAGCAGCTTGGCTAGCTTGACTAGCTTAATTGGAGACCTCTGGGTTCAAATCAAAGCCCCCGACTCAGTGCTAATGAGGAGATCAATCAAGGAAGACATCTAAGACTATCTATGGCCTCTGTGTGTGGACACACGTGTCTACACACATCCCCATATACATACATCCCGCCAAACATGCATACACAGGTCAGAAAGGGCAAAATGAGATAATATGTGTCCAGGTGCTTCATAAGATGAAGAGTGCTCCATAAACATAAGGTACTATACTAGAGTTTCCTCCTAATGAAAATGTAAAGAATGCCTCCCAGGGGGAGAGGGTTAGGATGGTCAAGTATTTCATGACACAGGCTTTGGCAGCTCTTGGTCTTGCGATATGATCCTGTAACATTAAATTAGACGTAATCACACACGTTTTCAACACAAGTTCACTTACAAAAGATCACAGCCATTCTAGGACTGTTCTAACTCTACAAGAACTTGAAAGAAAAAGCTATCACCCTGAACATCAAATGTAGACCTGTGTAATAGGCAAACGGCGTCACTATTCAAGAATGTGTGGTTGCACACAGAATGCACATAACGCCTTGGGAGAGAAACAGTGAACCATTCGAGCTGGGATTTGACTTTTCTAACTATGTTACAGACCTTCATTTTGTTTAGAATTCAGGTGGGCTTTAGAGTGACGCAAAGTGGGAGAGCCGAAGGTTCTAGTCCAGCAATTCTTTCTAATCTCTTTTCCATGGCCGTGTGAGTCTGGTGAAGTGTTCAGAAATGAGACCCAAGCACAGTGCTTTCCAAGAGGGGTACTTTCAGAGGCTCTATGGCATAGTAATTAATTTCCCTGGCAAGTGTGAGTAGAGCTCTAATTTTAAAGCTGTATGTGTCTCCAATGGTGAGTTGAGACCATTATCCTGGCCTTAGCCCACTCAGAAATGGCAAGGAAAATATTCATGTGGAAATTATTGTCTAGAAGTGCACTGAGGCTTGCATTTGTCCTCACTTTGACTTGCATATGTAAACAAACACTTCTTGCTCTAATTTGGACTTCAGAACTGTGTTGCCAAATATACAGCTATTTGTATTCTGTAAGGCACTGGACTAAACAGCCTGTTAGTCTTTGAGGGCTCACAGGATGGAACCACTCTCCCTAATCTTTCAATGTTGAACACCACTGGAAAGAGCACAGGTCATCGACTTTCCCTCTCATTCTGTGTTCTAATTGTAGCTGAAAATTTGTGTTAGGGGTTTCAAATGATTGAGTTAATCATTTTGTCTTTTGCCAGGTCAAAATATTAATACTAGAGCTTCTTGGAGTGACATAGAAGTTACTTAATGAACACAAATTAACATAGACACAGGGATCAGTGCCATGTCTCTGGGTCCACCAAAAGATGAGTTTCCTAATAAAGAGCTCCTGATTTGATTGTGACTAATGAATGATCTCTCTCAGAGTACAGATCCCAACAAAAGTGAAGGCAGCACACAGCTATAGTTATGAACACTGAGAGGCCATCATAGCCTTTAGAACCAGGGAGAGAGGAAGCAGATAGCCTGTTTTGCACTGTGGTGGTTCTATGAGAGCCAGTCTGTGTTTGTAATATCCTAGCAAGAGGCATCCTGTAGGGAGCATCCCGGTGGGCCAGAAACAGCCATTTCAAGATGCAGAGGTCACCATGGAGATCCTGGTTTTGTTATTTACTTCAAATGATATGAATTTCCTTGACTCATTTTATTATGCAAAATGGAAATGTGATAATTTTATGGAAATTAGGTGAGTAAGCACAGATAAAGTGCCTAGAACCATGCCTTGCCAAGAAAGAGCACTCAGCGTAAACTGCTTGCTTGTCTGGTAGTGGATGGTGGGGGCACAGGGAAATATGGCTGTCTTGTGAGGCTTAGTCCACCCAGTTAAGCATCATCAAGATCTTCCATGAGTGGGCTGGAATAGACATTTAAATTTGCATACTCTGACTAGGCCACTCTAGCTCTCTTCCTCACTCTCCATTCAGTTTATACCCAGGCATCAGGTGGTGCCAAGGAGTGTCAGAAAAATTGCAGGTGTCTCTTTAGTTATCCCAAGGACAATGTTCACATCCTTGTAGAGAAGGGGCTTGAAGTACCTATATCCAAATGGTACTGTACCATAGAGGGAATGAAGACGAAGATGGCAGAAACTGATGGTACTGATGCAGAGTACTGCACTGCTTCCTTTCAGCAAGCACTATGTTATCCTTCAGAATCAAACAGCCCCAAGAACTTCTTCCTCTCACCCTGACACTCAGATACATTTGACTTTAGGTGGACTTTTAATAGGAAATCAAAACTAATTGTATTAAATTTCTCTTCAACTTAACAACAGTGCTGGGCTGTAACAATGAGAATAAAATGCATTCCCTGACCTCAAGGAGGCTACTATTTAAGGATATGGAAGCTCCATGTCAAAAGAACCATCTTAGCAGTGGAAGGTAAGGGCTGCCAAGAAAGGGGACCATGCAGGGGATCATACCAGGAATTACTGAATGTGTTTCCTTAAGAAATCAGAGGGAGAGATAACATTAAAGGCCATTTGAGGGGTCCTACAGAGGCTCTTCCTTTCTTGACTCAACCATATAGAAGCCCAGGCACTCCATCTCTTTGTATCAAGGTGAAACTGGGAGTGTAATTTGTTGCCCTAGTTTTTGGCTCCAACAACATAATTTCTCCGTTGATGTAAAAACAACTCTCACCTCAAAGGGAAGAAGAGGTAGTTTATTCTGAGCCAAATATGAGTGACCACGTTTCTGATGGCTTCAAATCACACGTTTCAATGTGGAATCAGCTCTGTGAACTTTCTCTAGGCATAAATTAAGGCATTTACCAAATACATCGTGGGGACACAGGGTGGGTGGTTACAACACAGGAAGGAGAACTTCTGCAGGTCACATGGTGTGCAATGACATTCCTAGCATGGTGGCGCGGGGGGGGGGGGGGGTGGACTCTAGTAGTTTTATTCATACATCTCAAAGGCCTCAGTGAGAAAGAAGTTGGGTCAGACATAGGAGTGGGCAATGAATGACTCTTAAGGAGACTAAAGATAGCTCGAGATAATTTGACTGTGAATATGTGATATTCTCATTCTCTATAATCATGAAATTCTAATCAATCAGCCTTGTAAAATCTTTAATAGAGGCATGGGTATTGTGTTTATGGGGCACACACTTCAATTCACATTTCTTTTCTAGATAGTAAAATAAAAATCTACATTGTGTGTGTGTGTGTGTGTGTGTGTGTGTGTGTGTGTGTGTGTGTGTGCGCGCGCGCGCGCATGTATGAGTGTAGGTGGATATATGCCATGGTGTATACATCTAGAGTTAGGTTCTCTGCTTGCAACATGTTTGTTCCAGGGCTCAAACCCAAGTCCTCAGGCTTGGCAGGGAGTGCCTCTAGCTGCTGAACAGTCCTTGCCTACTCCATGCCACATTTCTAAGGGACTTGGAGAATTATGACAATTAACAAACTAGTTGCATATTTCAGATGAAGTTCTGTTTCTATATTCAAGGGATGACCCTCTTTTCACAAAGACCAGCACTGTGCACATACAGTTAGCATAGAGACAGTAAATAATATGTTATTTTTGTTTCACAATAAAAGAATGGTTATATGCCCTGGCTAATGGGGTATGATTGAAAGCGAGCAATCGCTCAGTGAAGTTGGAATGCAGTGGTGTGGAGGAAAGTAAAGTGTAAAGACTCTTTGGTCTCACAGTGAAGACTCTTAAAGGCAATACTGAAACAGGTTGATGCTACCTTTTATACACTGAGGAGCTATCCAAATCATTTTATTGTTTCAGACAAGACTGTTCCTCCCAGAAGCATTTGCAATACACTTGATGATTCTCTAATTGCTGTAATTTTAGGGACTCCATGGTCAGTCCATCTTCATTAATTCTCAGGGTATAGCAGAATATCAGCCTGGTGATGTCTCTGAACACACATTGAGTGAATTTCCTAAATTTCCAGGGAAGCTGTGAGGCATCTGTGAAGTAACAACAAAACGCACAATGGGAACCAGCAATTACTGTAGCAAATTATATCAGAGCTTCAACATGATTCATTCATTAATCCATTCAGTATTTACCTGTTGGGTTTGGGGCCCTGAGTAACTGATGAGAACTGTAAGATATAAAGGAAAGAATGAGATAGCAGAAAACTAAAAGATGGAAGTTTTTAGGGATACGGTAAGATACACACCTAACAGATACATGCACAGACTTTTCCCCTAATTTTTAAATTAATTCTTTTAGAATTTTATAAAGCATATTTTGATCATATTCATTCTCCTTCCCTAAACTGCTCCCAGATCCATCCCCATTTCCTAGCAGCCCAACTGTGTGTAACCTTTAAAAAAAACAAACAAACAAACAAAAAGCAAAAAGCTATCAAGTCTAATCTGTGCTACCTGTGTACACTTGGATCTGTGGTCTTCCACAGAAGCATGGTCCACCTGCCATGTACAACAGCCTTAGAGAATACTGACTATTCCTCTTTTACAAGCAATCATTTGCCACTATCTCATCAACCAGAGATGGGGCTTCATGCCTACCTCCCCTCGTCCATGCTGATTTTTTTTTTTTGTGGCTTGAGCTTGTGCAGGCCATTTGCATGCTGTCAAAACCATTGTAAATTCATATATATGGGTAACTTCCAGACAGCCCTATTTCCTTGTATTTGCCTCATGTGCTCTGGCACTTACAGTCTTTTCCTCTTCCTCTTTGTCAATAATCCCCGAGGCCCAGAAGGCGAGGGTGTGATGCAGATGTCTACTTTAGGGCTGAGAATTCTGTAGTGTTTTTTTCTCTGCACCTTGGCCAGTTATGAGTGTCTCTGTGAATTGCCAACTACTGCAAAAAAAAAATTCCTCTGTGAGGGTAGAGAGAAGTATTAATCTATGGGTATAATGATACATCATTAGGACTCAATCTAATGCCCTTCATTTAACAAAATAAAACTAGCAGGTTCTCCCCTAGGGCCAATGACTGTCTTGCTGTAGTTTTTGTCCCTGATACTAGTGCCAGGTATGGGTTTCATCTTAGGGAGCAGGACTTAAATCAGAAAGTGGTTGATTACTCCCATGATGCTCACGCTATTGCTGTACCAGTAGCCATATCTTGCCAGGTCCGTTGCTATGGTAGCTTGCAGGATTTACAGCTGAGTAAGATGGGTGGTGATTTTTCTCCTCTGGTAGAGTGCCTTGCACCTTTCCGCACAGTTAAAGCTAGTCAGTTGGAAATTTATCAGTAACAATGGTTGCTTTACCTGGATGTTCTGATTTGTTAAAGATAACTGTATTTTAACTATTCTTGTATATGAACATGTATATATTTTAGGAATCTTCTACATTAGTAAGTTTCTATATGACTCTTTTGAAGGTCTTAGTTACGCACCTCAACATTCCTTCCTTTACTATGGCCTCATATCTCCCCACACCATTTAAACTTTCCCTGTTCCTTTATTCTCCTTTAACCCTTTGGGCAACTGTATCCTACTGCCCCTCCCCCAAAAAGCACCCCATTTCCTCCATTTACTGACCTCTGTGGGAATTCCAAATGAAACACAAATATCTGAATATTCTAAGCTAACATCCACAAATGAGAGAAAATATCCAATGTTTGTCTTTCTGGGTCTGGGTTACCTCATTCAGAGTGATTGTTTCCAGCTCCATCCATTTATCTTGCAATCTTGTGGTTTTTTTTTTAACAGGTGAATAATATTTCATTGTACAAATGTACCACATTTTTATTATCTGTTCACCAACTGATAGACATCTAGGCTGTTTCCATTTTCTGGCTATTGCAAGTAGTGCAGCAGTGACCTGGATGAGCAGATATCTCTGAGGTGGACTATAGTATCCTCCGAGAATATGCGATAGTGGCATGGCTGGATCATCACACATGGATATATGCGACAGACTCCATTCATTAAACTTAGGTAGGCTTCATCATGACCCTAGGTCTTCGACCTTCCCTTCTGTAGATCATTTACATTAGAAAACTTACACTTTTTAATTCTTTCTATGTTCCTTTGAAATATGAATCCTGTCTCCTTTCCTTGCCAACTTTATAACTCAGGAATATATTTGTCAAAGATCAAGAAGCCGTGTCTTTGAATTACATCATTGAAGTAGATATTGCCCCCATCTTCAGTTTGTGGGAGGGTCAGAATTTTTCAATAATAAACCTACAGGGAAAGCCACTTAAAACTGCTGCTTTCTAGCGTCCTTGAATACTTTTCAGTTAACTTGTGAATGTTTAAAATTATTCCTGCTTTTTGCAACAATGGAGCTGAATTAAAGGGCTGAATTTCATTGTCCTTCAGGATTTCCCCTTTACTCTGTCTGTCTCATGCAATATTTCTTAGGGCACATATGCACAGACAGACATGTGCATACAAATCAGAACGTCCAAGTAAAACAACCTTTGTTACTGATAAATTGAGGTTCCCTTTCATGGGTTTTTAGTTATATTGATAAAAAAATTTAAATAGACTTAGAAGGAAGATCAAGCACCATCTCATTAGAGTCAGAAAGGAAAACAACAGGGTAAACAAGATGTGAATCTTGGGGACTGCCTAAGGGATGCAGACAAGAAGAAAAAAAAAATCATGCCTTTTAAGTTAGTTATGGAGGTCAGAGAAATGGTGAGAAAGCCCAGAGTACCAGGGAAAGCATACTTAAGATTTTGGACAGTGTCCAAAGAAATGATCGAAAAGGAAAGGCCACATTTTAAGGTTAAAATGTAGAATAGCAAGCAGACTTGATGGTGCTACATGGTGAAGGTACCTTAACTGCCTCTGGGTGGGACTCCTGGAAGGTTTAAATACCTTAAGAGGATAATTATTCCTCTCATTGCCTTAGCATATCTTCAGATGAATCAGCTTTCCTGTAGATTGGTTTCCTGGCAAAGTGATTGACAGGTATAGGTGGATTAACTCTCAAAAACCTATGCCAGATGTGTTCTCTCTCTCTCTCTCTCTCTCTCTCTCTCTCTCTCTCTCTCTCTCTGCTTGCCAATTAGGATGTAAAGGTTTTAGCTACTGTTCTTCACCATGTCTGTCTGCTTGTTTCCATTGTGATCATGGACTGACTTTCTAAAATTATAAGCAAGTCACCAATTAACTGCTCTTTTTTATAGGAGTAGCCTTGGCCATGGTGTCTCTTCACAGCAATAGAAAGTGTTCTTCACAGCACCTAAGATAGTCAACCACATAAAACTCAGCATGATTGAGCTCTTATTAGAGAATGAAAATGAGATTATGTTCTATAGTCTTATTTAGTTGACACTATGAATCTTGAAACTATGAGGAAAACTTGTTTACATAAAAACAACATAACTTTTTTCTAAAGTAAACTTATTTAGAATAGATATGCTATCTATTTTTTGTGCAATGTTGAAAATTGAGTTCAGTGGCTTTATGACAGGTATAACAGGTAAGCATGCTACTTCTGAAATACATCTTCAGCTGTTTATTGATGGAACAAGCAAGAAGTCAAGATGAAGTGGTCGTGGTACAGTTTTATATATGGCTGATATAAAGAGAGAGTTTTTTAGTTAAGAGTGTACGGAGGTAAGTAGAGATGTAGTTCAGGGGTAGATCACTTGCCTAGTATATGCAAAGCTCTGAGCTTGATCCCTAGCATTCTACAAATTTGAATGGAGAAATCTGTAAATAAAACAACAAAAAAGTGATCTAATGCTATTATTGTGCACTATTAGAGTACAGGAATAAGTTGGTATTGACAAATGGCATAGAAATCTGGTACTTAAAATATAAATATTGTATATAAAAGGAAAGACAAAAAGTAAATGTAAAAAATTAAAAGCTGTCGTCTCTGAAGCTATATTGCTATTTCCATCTTGTTCTGGACTCTCTTGGGCCCTTAGGTCTTTGTGATCTCTGCTGAAAGAATCCAGAAGAGACACAGGGTACAGTGGAGAAGATAGGCAGCATTCATCCAGGGAAAAGTGGGGACCCCAATGGAGGAGAGTGGGCCATGGCTAGAGAGATCATGTGGAAGAAAATACTCTCAAGAGGCTGAGTGGGCATTGGCCAGAAAGATCACTGAGCTCACTAACATTTTTAGGCAGGCTTTATACTATTTCTGAAGTTTCTAGATTAAACAGTTTTTCTTGGGGCATTTCCTATCCAGGTGATTGACGGGCCCATTTGGATGAATTCTTAAGGGATCAGGCAATGACTTGTCTTTGCTATTTGTTAGAAAGTCCCAATTATATAGGGATCTTAGTTCAGGGTGTCATGTGTCCATCCCAGGAGAGACACAATAGAGATCCCATTCTTTGGAGCAAGTTTTACAAGCTCATAATTTTGAGGGTGAGTACATTCCATCCTCAGTGACCTTCAAGCCTGCTGATATCTGACCGGCTGCCCAGGAGGATTAAGAGCTATTTGGTAGGGTCTGGTTTGTGAATATTTTGTATTATTTACTTAAAAAGTTATCATTTATTATTTTTATAAATCACCATATTTGTATAGCTTCTTGTGGCACCTATACTAGGTCTTATTTTTCTTCTTGAAGTCTTTGGTCCAATTAGGACTGGCCTGCCCTCCCCCACTCCATCCTGCTTTCTTGTGGACATAGTGATCCTCATGATACCTCTGGGATATTCTTATTTGGTGGAGTTGGTACATTTATCTCTCTCCACCTCTATGGATGTACAGCAGGCTTCTTAGAAGCCAGCAGGTGATTATAAAATACAGAATAACAAAACATACCAGGAATGAAGTTTGTTGTTGAAATCCTTTCTTTCACAACTCTAAACATCTTTTGATGGTGCTTGGAATATTTGAAGGCTGATGGGATGCCCCCTTTACCTCATCTCTTCAAATTATTCTTCTTTTCTCTAAAACTATGTGCTTCTAGATTTTTTTGGGGGGGAATTAATTTCTTTATTCTTTACTTTTTTATTTATTCTTCTCTCATGCAATGCATCCTGACCACAGTTTCCTCTCCCTCTACTCCTCCAAGTCTCCACCCTACCTCCCCTCTCCCCTGGATCTACTCCTCTTCCATTTCCCTTCAGAGAAGAGCAGGACTCCCAGGGATATCAACCAACATGGTGTAAAAAGTTACAATAATATTAGGCACAAACCCTCATATCAGGGCTGAGCGAGGCAACTTAATAGGAGGAACACTGTCAAAAGAGCAGGCATAAGAGACAGAGGTATGTGGTGATATTGTGTTCCCCCAAATGTTGTGCACCCTAATAAACTTATCTGGGGTCAGAGAACAGAACAGCCACTAGATATAGAGGCCAGAAAATGGTGGCACTCACGCTTTTAATCCTAGCACTCCAGAGGCAGAGATCCCTCTGGATCTCTGTGAGTTTAAGCCACACTGGAAATAGCCAGGCATGGTGACTCATGCCTTTAATCCCAGGAAGTGATGGCAGAAAGCAGAAAGGCATATAAGGCATGAGGACCAGGAACTAGAGTCCTTTAAGCTTTTAGGCTTTTAGCAGCAGTTCAGCTGAGATTCATTCTGGATAAGGACTCGGGGGCTTCAAGTCTGAAGAAATAGGACCAGCTGAGGAATTGGCAAGGTGAGGTAGCTGTGGCTTGTTTGATCTTCCAGCATTCACCCCCATACCTGGCTTCAGGTTTGATTTTATTAATAAGACCTGTTAAGATTTGTGCTACAGAGATATACCCACTCTGCTCCACAAGACACTAACAACCATAACATATATGCACTGTAATTGCCGCTTCAGTCTCTGTGAGCCGCTATGAGCCCTGCTTAGGTGATTCTGTGGGCCATGGCGTTTCTAGATTTTTAGTTCTGCCATATTCTTATTTTAGCTCTGTGTGATATTATAGAACCTTCTCTGGCCTATTTCTTCTTGTCAGCAGCTTCTTTTTTTGTTATTGTTGTTGTTTGTTTGTTTAGATCCTGTTTATTGTTAGCTCCGAGGACAGAACAGAAAGTTCTTAATGTATTCTGTCACACAAGGCTAGATGGGGAAGGACAGTCCAATTTTTTTGTTGGTTTCAGATGTTATTTGCTTGTTATTTCTTTTTAGTGTTTACAAAATACCTTTCGTATTAAATTTATAAAATTTATATTAAATTTATACATAAAATTGCACATACTAATGGAATACCATTTAAAGTTTCACACACGCACATGTACATGCACATGAGAACAACACATATAATGGTTAAATCAGATTAAACAGGTATTTCATTTCTTTGGGGCAAAAACTTCTTTCTTTTTGCTTTTTTAAAAAAAATGCACAATACATTTTCATGAACTGTTATGAGCACCAAACTGTTCAAAATCACAAAAGGAATTCCTGATCTCTTCTTCGTTGGATAATACCTGTGTGTATGTGTGTGCCCATGTGTGTGTACTTGTGTATGTGTTCATGTGTGTGCATAGGCCAGAGGTTGATGTCAGGTATCTTCCTCTCTAACTTTCTATCTTCGTGTTTGCCGCAGAATGTGGTTGTTTGAATGAGACACGCCCCCAGAGACTCATGCCTTTGACTGCTTGTCCCCTTCTGTGGAGTCATTTGAGGAGGTTATTGAACTTTAAGGATGTGGAACCATGCTGGACAAAGTATGCCACGGGGCTTTAAGTGACATGTGTCACTTTGAGTATGTCTGTGGGCTTGAAGAGTTTATAATCCCACCAACTTCCAGTTTGCTCTTTGCTCCGTGTGTGTGAGGTT